GGGGCTTGAATTCTTGACCCTGAGATCAAGAGTCATATAGTCTACTGACTGACTGAGCCAGCCAGGCACCCCAGGGGACAGTTTTGAATATTAGATTTTAGCTACTCTGGAATCTTATGGTGGTGCATTTTAAAGAGTGGAATACCTAGGGGTTCCTGGGTGCCACAGTCAGTTAAGCTTCCCACTCTTGATCTCCACTCAGGTTATGGATCTTGCAGTTCGTGAGTTCAAGCCCTGCATCAGGCTGGGTGCTGATGGTGCAGAGCCTGCTTGCTATTCTGTCTCTCCTCTCTGTTCCTCCCCTGCCTGTGCTCGCTTGCTCGCTTTCAACATAAGTAAATAAACTTAAAAAAAAATTAGTGGAATACCTAAATAAAATTTTTACTAGAGTATATCTTTCTCCTTTATATTGCTTTTACAGTATACAAATTTTGTCTGACAATGTAGACAACTCCTTATCATCAGGGATAAAGGAGGGAGTGAGACTCTGGATAAATAAATCCATAATAGTTAATAATTCTGTTGTTGAAAACCTCACTGGGAAAACAGCTAAAGAGCAAACTGTGTGTGTGTATCATTTTGTCTCCATTTTTTAAAAATTTTTAACATTTTTAAAAAATTTATTTCAGAGAGAGAGAGAGAGAGAATATGAGCAGGGGAGGGTCAGAGAGAGAGACACACACAGAATCTGAAACAGGCTCCAGGCTCTGAGCTAGCTGTCAGTACAGAGTCCAACGTGGGGCTCAAACCCATGAACCGTGAGATCATGACCGGAGCCAAAGTTGGCCGCCGAACCAACTGAGCCACCCAGGTGCCCCTTTTTGTCTCTGTTTTGACATAAGAAATAAAAATTCTGAAAACACACAGCTTTGGGGAAGAGAAGTACTGTAGTCATATTATGAATACTTGAGAGCTGGATGAACTATGTATTAGTCAAGATTTATTCTTGTTCTAATAAAGTTAATCTTAAAAAGGCATATTTAGGAGAGCAACTTTGATCTTTTTTTTACTTTAGAATTTTATATTTTCAAATGTTACTTTGAATATGGTGGGTCAGCTATGTTTTAAAGAACATTTTGGAAAGAATTAGCACTGCTTGATCTCTTAAGACTATGACCCAAATTCTATTCATTTTGTTCTATTTTTCAATTAGTAATTAAAAAAGAATCCACACCCCCACCCCCAGCCCCGTGTTTATCTAGTCTGCTATTGTAGACCATTTGCTATCAACTCAAAGTTCTCAATTAGCTCCAGTGTTGTTATAATTACTGGATGTGTTTTCAAACAACTCCCAGCTAATAACCGTTGGGATGAAGAGTCATTTTCTCACTATAGACTAGACTGCACGCTCATGCTCGCTGTGATGTTTCTACAATGATTCATTAACCAATAATAGGGCCCCAATTGGAACCATTAGGCATTGGTGCCTTTGCTAGACTTACCTTTTATTTTGTTCCTCAATATTGTCTTTTCTGGGGCTGATTTCTGGATAACTCCTAAGAGACTCCTTAATATACAAAACAGTATCATGAAGACAGCTGTTATTGAATTCAGCTACTTGGAACAAAGCTTCCTCATAACACAGTGTTCTTGTTGGAAATTCAAGATGGAAAAGCGCCATAAAAAGGAGTCTATAATGTAAGAACACATGATTTAAATGGTCCTTTATTTATACTGGAGTTATAGCTAATCATAGAGATTAGGCAGATTGGGCACTGTGTCTTTCAGTAGTGTATATATAACATCTGGGCAAATATAAGCCCTCCAGCATTCTATCACTCAAATTTAAAGTTCCTTGCTTTCCAATGGGCAGATTGCTTTTACTTCATAAACATCTGAAGCAGAAATACAGTAAAAGTTTATCACTGATCCACTTGGGCTTATGAAGACCAATATTGTTGCCATTAGTACTATTTATTTTCAAGGCAGGGCAAAGAAGCATTCGTCTTTCACTATTTCTGCAGACTTTCTATCCTCGGTGTCCTAGTAGCTTAGTGACCTGCTAGATCTTACCAGGTGGGGTCAGATAAAGGCCTCTTTTGGTTCATTCTTAACTCTCCTCCCCCAGCTTCTAGCAAGTTGTTCTACTTCTGTAGCCACAGGCTATTTAGATGCCACTTGCATTTTTAATATTTGTGTACAGAGGATTGTGAGGGTTTATGTCCTGGATGTAAAGACTTGGTTTGGAAGTTAAGATTCTGTGAAAGGTTTGACATCAGCTAAATCATGTCACCTGCTTCAGCTAGGTGTGATTCTTGATAATGGGTGAAAGGGATGGGAAGATTTAACAGGGCTTTGACTAACAGAGAGATGGTTAGGGGGAGGGTTTTAAATGTTCAAAAGTGAAAGTGTGTCTTTTATTAGTCAACATCCGAGTTGCTTTATATGGGTCTCTTTCAACTTTAACAATGTAATTCTGAAGTTGCCAGATTGTACATAATGCTCTAAGATCAAGTAAGTAGTTGTGCATATTTCTAAAAATGGAACTTAATGATGAAGTTCACATCCCAAACTGAAGTCCATAACAAGGACATGCTCCTTACCTACATGGTAAACAAAACTACCTCTTCCTACAATCAAATAACCAAATGGTGCTGTCCTTGGTGTTGAAAGATTGACGTTTATACCTGGCTGCTCCTTCTCCCATTACTATCAGTAGGACTGACAGATGTCAGTCATTTATCCTACCTTGATCTCCATGTCCTTTCCTGAAAAAGTGGTAGGTGAACAAGATACACTAATTCCAAGTTCTACATTCTTTTGAGGTACTCTAATAGAAATAGAGTATTACTTAAAAAATTTACCCTGTCCCTTAAATACAGAAATGTTGCTATAATGCATTACTTAATCTTCCAGACTAAGCCTAAATTTAAGGCCATTTGGGAAAAAAATTCTTCCTCAGTTTCTAGAAAAGTCTTCACCATGTACCATGAAGGATCTTCTTTTACAAATTTTAGGATCAGTTTGGGCTATGAATTTCCCCAGACTAATGCTTCACATATGATATTTTCAAAATCCCACTGAAATGTAATTCATCAGTTTACTATTTATCTTCAGATACACATGATGCTTCTAGACTTTCAATTCTAATTGCTTCTAGTTTTAAGAGACCATTATGTACAAGTAGCTTTTATACCACATCGTGGTACATGTGAAATGTGTATAACAAAGGAATCCATCTCCAAAGCTAGTTCGTAGGCCACCTGTATAGATCAACTGATTTTCCCCTAAATTGTTGTTAATATTGCCCATTTCTGGATATGTCCATCTAAGAATGCAATGCACAACCCAACACAAGCAAGTAAGAAAAAAATCAAATTCTTCAGTAATTATTTTAAGACCTGGTAATTTTACAATGTTCAGTCTCAGAAGAGAAAAAGTAAAAAGTATGTTTTGATATTGATACTCAGCAGTATAGAATGCTTTCTCCTCTTACCTAGTATTGTGTGTGTGTGTGTGTGTGTGTGTGTGTGTGTGTAAGAGCACAGATGTGGTACCATTTTAAGATGTTTGTGATGGCAAGATGCCTGGCATATTTACATACTTGAGTAAGTAGATTTGAGAAAATGTATTTCTCAGATTTGCCTGCAAGGGTGTTTCTGGATGTTGGATTTTTTTTTTCCGAGAGAGTGAGTGAGTGAGAGGGAGGGAGAGAGTGAGGGAGGAGTAGGGAGGTGCAGAGAGAGGGAGCAAGAGAATCTCACTGATCGCGCAGAGCCCAGCGTGGGGCTGATCCCATGAACTCTGAGATCATGACCTGAGCTGAAATCAAGTCAGACACTTAACTGACTGAGCCACCCAGACACCCTTGGACTTGCTGGATTTCGAATTCATGTCTTTTTTTTTTAAATAGTTTTTTTAATGTTTATTTACTTTTGAGAGAGTGGAAGAGAGAGAGACAGAATGTGAGCAGAGGAGGAGCAGAGAGAGAGGGAGGAAGCCTGAAGCGGGCTCCAGGGTCTGAGCTGTTCGCACAGAGCCTGATGTGGGGCTCGGACCCACAAACCATGAGATCATGACCTAAGCTGAATTTGGATGCTCAACTGACTGAGCCCCCCAGACACCCCTCTAATTAATGTCTTGATGCTCTGTTAGAACGACACCAGGATATATTCTACTTAAGCAGACAAATCTAGATGTGCCTTCATTTTTTTTCCAACTTTATATATAAACCCTTTACTAAATAAACTCAGAGATTTCATTTTTTTAAATTTAGAGATTTTAAAACTATTTTGGAAACCCTATCTCAAAACATACTGGCAGTTAGTCCAGCTTAAGTTCATTTTAGTCTAAACTGAAGTGTTCATACTTTCTTCTTTCCTTATCCGGAAGCTAAGAGAGCAGCATAGGAGATACTACTGGGTAACTTCAAGGTTTTCATTGATGCAAGGAAGGGTAGAGATTGTTTAAGAAAGCAAAAGCTCCTGTACAGGAGTGCAGATGCATAGGGGCACATGTACCCCAATGTTCATAGCAGCACTCTCAACAATAGCCAAAACATGGAAAAAGCCTAAGTGTCCATCAATGGATGAATGGATCAAGAAGATGTGGTTTATCTATACAATGGAATACTACATGGCAATGAGAAAGAATGAAATCTGGCCATGTGTAGCAACATGGATGAAACTTGAGGGTGTTATGTTGAGTGAAATAAGTCAGGCAGAGAAGGACAAATACCATATGTTTGCACATATAGGAGAATTAGGAGGAACTTAATGGAGGACCATGAGGGAGAAAAAGGGGAAAAATAGTGGGGGAGAGGGAGGGAGGCAAACCATGAGAGACTCTTAAATGCTGAGAACAAACTGAGGGCAGATGGGGTGGGAAGAGGGGATGTGGGGTGATGGGCATGGAGGAGGGCACTTGTGGGGATGAGCACTGGGTGTGATATGGAAACCAACTTGACAATAAACTATTTAAAAAAATAAAATAAATACACAAAAATAATAATTCCAAAAAAAAGAAAGCAAAATCTCCAATATACAACTAAAAGACTTTATTCTCTAGTTCTTCTTCAAACTGAGTAAGTTCAAAATTTGTGATTTGAAAATAATGAAGAAGATATTCTTCGTAGAACTTAAAATATGGCACCATAATGTAGTATGGCTCCATATTTTAAATTCCATACAAAGCAAACGTGGACCACAGTTAGAGGACATTGGGGCATCTCCCTCTCCATGCAGGGAGGTTGGCTGGACTTCTTCCTCTGTGTCCAGTCCCTGGGCATTTTTGGTCTCTGACACATCTGTGGTCTATACAATGTGAAGGACTTTGAAAGCAGCCACAGCCTGTTTTTCCCGTTCGTGTCTGCTCTGCAATATCTCTAGCAGTGAGATTTCAGGCAGAGCATCTTCCTTTTGAGCATAGGTTGGATTTTTCTTTTCCTTTGATGTTCGATGAGTCGGATTCGAAGGTTTGGGTTTGGGGATGGTCTTAGCATATTCCAAAGCCTGAAAGCATAAAGATAAAAATCTGATTTGCAATGGGAAGTGAGCCCCAGGGTCCCTTTAATGAAATCAGGTCTTAGGAAATGTTTATTGGTAATATGAATGGAGACTACCGCCACAATAACGCACTGAGATGGCGGAAATGGAGAGCAAATGGGAAGTAAATACAAGTCATGCAATATAATGCACAGTCTCAACAAAACAAATTAGCCACCTAACAGGGTGCTGTGAAAAAGAGCTGAGAAATGATACACAGATTGGCACCTTTGGGTGTTTTCTCTATAAAACGGAGTTTTATTCAAGTGTTTGAAAATCGATTTCTCACGTGTGGGCTGTACTTAGCTTCTGTCAGTCTTCTTACAACCAAACGTCTATTAAGGAGATATTCACAGACCTTGCCATTCTAAGTGGGCTTGTTACAGCTTGAGACCAAAGACCTTACTGTAGTTGATGAGCGTCCATTATTAGAGGCTCCAAAATTGAGCCACCGTTATTATATCCAACTCTTCTTTATTCCTAGGCTCTTAGAACTCTAGCAACTATTTATTAGAGGTTGGGAATTATTCTGTTCTTTAGCATATCTATAGAAACCTGGAGATTGGAAAAAGCAGACATTTTTTCCCCCAGTGATGTCTGTTCCAAAAGGCATGACAATAAAAATGAGATCACAAAATAGGATTTCTTAATCTGCCTTTATATCAGTTTTATATTTTAATAAGAGTTTCTTGATAGCTGAAATGGGACTAGATAGTACATTTAGGTCGTGGAGGGGGAGAATCCTCCAGACTTCTTGGTGTGTGTAGGTGATTTCTGTAGGAATTTCTAATTACAGACTTGTTGCCTTGAATCTCTTCATGAAAAGATGATGGGTCAGAGAAAAAAGAAAGTGGCACCATGGAAACTCCATCAAGTGGACTGAGGTCTTCAAGGTCCGAGGAAGAAAGGCAATAAATGGAAAATATGATGGTCTGTGAGAGAGAACATGAAGTACAAATTCCTAAAAGCACCAAAGGGTCACTTGTCCCTCATGCAAAGGGTTCCATGTTCTTACTGGGACTGAGACAGACTTTGCACAGCAAGGCTCGGTGTTTCCGTACTTCTTTCACAGCCTGACTTCTAGCTGGATGACCTCTGAGAGGGAGAACATTCTGTATTTTATGAAATAATTTTTTTGTGGCTAGAGAGACCTATAGATTACATTCCCTTGGGAAAAATGTAGGGGATGAAATGGAAAGAAACCATGAAGGCACTTTCTTTGATCTACGTACTCATAAATGGCACAAAGACTTTAATTGCTTAAAATTTAATGGTAGAGAAGGAAATTGATAGGATTTATCAGGATTGCTAGTTTTTCCTAAGAAATCACCTTACTATTCAGTGAAAATGGTTTTAAAATTTTGAGTTGGGTTGACCCACAATGTTCCATTAGTTTCAGATGTACAACATTGTGATTTGACAAATCTGTAGGTTAGTGCTCGCCACAAGTGTAGCTATCATCTGTCCCCATACAGGCTGTGACCATATCCTTGAGTGTATTCCCTGTGTTGTGACTTTCGTCTCTGTGATTTACTCCTTCCATAACTGGAGGCCTTGTACCTGCCACTCCCCTTCACCTATTTTGCCCACCTTCCTTCTGGCAACCATCAATCTGCTCTCTACATTTATAGGTTGGATTCTGCTTGTTGCTTGTTCATTTGGTTTTTAGATTCCACATAGAAGTGAAATTGTATTTCTTTCTCAGTCTGGGTTCTTTCACTTAGCATAATACCCTCTAGGTCTATCCATGTTGGCATAAATGGGCCTACCTCATCCTTTTTATAATGCTGTGCAGTATGCCTGTGTGTGTGTGTGTGCGCGTGTGTGTACACACCACATCTTCCTTCTCCATTCTTTTATAGACAGACACTGGGCTCACTTCCATATCTTGGCTATTGTAAATAATGCCTCCATAAACATACATGTGCATGTATCTTTTCAAATTAGTGCTTTTGTTTTCTTTTAGTAAATAACTAGAACCGGAATTATTGGATTGTATGGTATTTCTTTTTTCTAAAGTTTTTTAATGTTTGTTTATTTTTGAGACAAAGAGAGAGTACGAACAGGGAAGGGGCAGAGAGGAGGAGATACAGAATCTGAAGCAGGCTCCAGGCTCTGAGTTGTTAGCACAGAGCCCAGCACGGGGGTCAAACCCACGAACCATGAGATCATGACCTGAGCCAAAGTTGGAGGCTTAACTGACTGAACCACCCAGGCACGCTGGATCATATGGTATTTCTGTTTCTAGTTTTTGAGGGACCTCCACACTGTTTTCCACAGTGACTGTATGAATTTACATTCCTACCAGCAGCATATGAGGGTTCCTTTGTTTCCACATGCTCACCAACACTTGTTATTTCTTGTGTATTTGATTCTAGCCATTCTGACAGGTGTAAGGTGATCTCCCTGTGGCTTTGATTTGCATTTCCCTGATGAGGACTAATGTTGAATATCTTTTCATGTCTGCCGGCCTTACTATTCAATTTCTGTGTGTGTGTGTGTGTGTGTGTGTGTGTGTGTGTGTGTGTATGAAACTTGAAATCCTATACTTGGAAGAAAATGTGGAGGCCTAAAGACCATGATGAACTTCAGGCTAATCTTCCAGCATCATATGTATACATGCTATCCGTGTATCAATACCTGTGAATGATGGGTAGCTGCGGGAATAGCAGTTGATAAAACATCTCCTGTGTTCCAAAAATGTAGGGGAAGTTAAGAGGTAACAAAGGTTTCCTTTTAATTCTTTTTTTCCTATTAAATGTTTATTTTTGAGAGAGAGACAGAGACAAAGAGAGAGACAGAGCATGAGCAGGGGAGGGGAAAAGGCAGAGAGGGAGGGAGACACAGAATACGAAGCAGGATGTGGGGCTCAAACTCCCAAGCAGTGAGATCATGACCTGAGCTGAAGTCGGATGCCTAACCCTAATCAGCTAAGCCACCCAGGCGCCCCAGGTTTCCTTTTAATTCTAATTGAAAGGCTAACGGCCTTGGTGAGAATTTCTTACCTTTTGCCGAGGGACAGCAGATTTACTTTCAGTTTTTGCTGTTTGTGGCTTTGACAGAAGGGCTAGCGTCTTCATGTTATACTCCTGAACTTGTTTGGCGTATTCCTTTTTTTGGATTAATTTCTGCATCTGTTCAGAGAGACAATGTTACGACCGTGCACAGGCCCTGCTAGAGCTCTCTGTTCTTTTTAAACGCAGCACTCATTTTAGGGAGCTGGGCTATTGTATTGTCTTAGCGGCCCAGGGGAAATGGGATTACCATGCGTAAGGCAACAGCAGTGAGATGGTTAAGTTAATGTTTCTCCTGGAAACAGTCTCTCTCCGAGCGGGGAAAGACCTCACTGCAATAGCACACCCAGTGTTCCCTTAACAGGGGCAAAATCACATTCAGCTCCTTCTTTGTTGCATTTACCCAATTTATTTTCATTTTGGCTTCCAACTTTGAACTATACTCTCTTTTTATGCCCTGAGTGCAACTGCAGTTAAAACACATTAAATGAAGATCTTCTTTCACTAGAGGAAAGGAACTAAAGTGGATGCACTTTTCATGGGCTGGGAAACTCTTATCCTAAGCATCTTCTCTGTAGCCACTCTTCGAAATTACTGAGATCACTCTATTGGGTAGGACCAACGACCATATAATACGCACATCTCTTTTCATGTGCACATGGCCCTCTTTTCTGTGCAGGTCCTCAAAACTAACTAAAAGGTGGATACATAAAACAACATTGGCCGGGTAATTTTATTTTATGGTAAAAGGAGTATCTGGGTCTCTATTACCAATGCTGTTTCAGAAGAGTTTCTATTCAGAGGGAGACATTTGGATTAGGACTCCGTTCTGGAGGACAGGTCTGTGCAGTTCTGCTAAAAAGCAGGGGGATGGCAAATCCAAGCCTACAGAATGCTGTATGTATACATGCTCACTTTGTCTCTGATGGACTCAAGGTCAGGTCCAAGGCCTCCAAGCTTCACATCTCTTTTCTGATAACCTTTCAGCTTGGAACTCTACAAATACAAAGAGACGGTTTCTTTTAAGGAATTGTGTGCCCCCCTCCTTCCCCCCAGCTGTCCTAGCCACATAGGAAAGGAAGAATGGAAGTCCGAGTGGACCACTGGGGGTGGGGGAGTGTGGCGCAGTTCCAAACAATTCTTCCACTTTAAGGGTAGTTCTTGATAATAGCTTCTTAGGTAATTTGTAGCGGGTCAGCTCACATGCTTTGACTTTTCCAACTTCTGCAACAACAACACAACTGGAATTCTGAGAATTATAAATAAACATTTTCAAGCGAATGAACTGGTGTTTTGTTATTAACCTTTTAAACAACATCTACTGTGACTATTATGTCTGGTCTTCAACCATTCACTAAACCAAACGATTACCTGGGAAGAGGCCACCTAAATCAGGTAAGCATTGCTTCAAAAAGAGCGTGCCCTGTCTGATGTCACAACAGTCAAAGGACAGTACATTTCTAAGGGTTAAGTGTCCAGGCAAGATATACAGAGAAACTCCTTTTATTCAGCGTGATTTTGGATATTTTGAAGGGTATAAATAATTTTATATGACATTCTTAGCGGAATTGTATATTTAAAGGGACAGAGTCACATAACATGGCAGTTTAATTTTAACTTATGACACTTGAGCACAATGACAGGCAGGAAAAACACTAATGCTCTCCAGACTGGAGAATAGATGATGAGATTCCCCTGACTGCTGCCTTCAGTGTTAAAACTGACTTGCCGCTTGGGGCAGATGCCGTTGTGAAGATACCAAATTCTCTCTGTGTGGGTTTTTTTTTTTTTTTTGAGTTTGAGTTTGAGTTCATTTGAGAAGGGTAGGAAGGGCAATGCCAAAGAGCTAGTTTGGATGACAGTAGTTCAGTCTACGGCCATACCACCCTGAATGCGCCCAATCTCGTCTGGATGACAGTAGTTCTGTTCAGACAGATCAATTCGGTGCTTAGGCTGGAGAAAGAATAGCCATCCTGAAGAGGTGACTGCTCTGTACCAGCTTCATGCAGTACAAAGCTCAGTATTTTCTAAATTGTGAGAGCTCCTGTAAATTACATGAAGTCCTAAGATAGGCAGTATATCTAATGAGTTCTTTAAAAAATATTTTTTGTTTATTTTGAGGGAGAGACAGAACACAAGCAGGGGAGGGGCAGAGAATGAGAGCGAAGAGAGGGAGACACAGAATCTGAAGCAGGCTCCAGGCTCCACGCTGTCAGCACAGAGCCCGATGCAGGGCTTAATTAAACTCACAAGCTATGAGATCATGATCTGAGCTGACGTTGGATGCTTAACGGACTGAGCCACCCAGGTGCCCCTCTAATGAGTTCTTAAGACAGGATTTGGCAGATAGAGTCCAGAGGCTTCAAAAAAAAAAAAATTCTTACCAAGTTGGATATAGTTACTACATGTAACTCCCGGATCTTAAAAGGGAACTTAACTATATATTGTATCAACTCTTACAAGAATGTGTTCTACTCCCACTAGGCTATTGGCCTACTACCCACAGCTGCTACCAGTCAATGTCTGCATTGCCTTTCCCCACTATAGAATCTCAGAGCCTGGTGCTGTCATCCCCAGATCCGTAGCACTGAGCTCTGGGCCGTGAGGTATAAATGAAAGTTGGCAGGGGGAGAGTTTGTATCTTGGAAAACTTTTATCCAGGCTGGTTTGGCCCCTATCCCTTTCTTTTTTCTTGCCTCGAATGTGGGTATGGTTCCTGGAGCTGGAGCTGAAGCAGCCATCTTGGTTCAGGAAGGGAACAGAGAACCAACCGTACAAACACTGGCTCTGATGTTGTGAGCTGTGGGCCACCAGTGCTAGTGGCTCTCTACCTGTGGCTTAATCGTATGTGAGGAGGAGCCCATCCTTTTGAAGGCACGGTAAATAGTTAATTCCGTGACTTGGAGCTGAAAGCAATATTTCTGACCTCTTGATGCTTCAAAGAGCCAGAGTCTTCTCCGCACTTCTATGCTGCAAGGATTGAGTTCTGTAAACAGAATTTCCCTGGTTAGAATGTTCAAAATTTATAGTCAAAACTCCTTCAGCGTATCTCATTCTAAAAGTGGAGAGAAGGTTCTTTTTTTCAAAAGAAGTTGTTGGGCTAAAATCATTGAAAAATATTAAAGGATAGAGAGAAAATGTTGTTTATGAAAGGCCTGTCCAAATCCTAAATCCCCTTTAAGAAAATGATCACCTGACAAAACCATTCTAGTTGCTTCTTGCCCTTGATATTTATTCAGGCTTTCATAAAATTGCCAAGTGCTACAAATTAGATTTTTTTCACTAAGCTTTTTTTTTTTTTTTTTTTTTTTGACAGAGAGCACAAGAGAGGGTGGGCATGAGTTGGGGAGAGGGGTAAAGGGAGAGGGCAAGAATCCTAAGCCGGCTCCATGCCCAGAACAGAGCCTCAAGTGGGGCTTGATCTCACAACCATGAAATCATGACCTAAGCAGAAATCAAGAGCTGATGCTTAACTGACTGAGCCTCCCAGATGCCCCTTCACTAAGCATTTTAGCATTATTTCCCTGTATTTCCTGGTCACTGGTTTTCAAAAATACGACTTCCATACGTAACATTCTGTCTTCTGGTTCTAGCTGAATTATTTAGCTATTGCTCTAAACGTTGAACACTTAAGATGTCCTAGGGATAAGCATTATTTGTTTGTGGGCTACTGTGATGATTGTTTTGAGATCAGTTAATAGAAGTGGAATTGAGGCAAAATCATGAACACATTTACGGTCCTTCATTAACATTTCCATTAGCAATGTGTAAGAATGCTCTTCTTGTCCAAGCCTTGATTATACTGCGTATGATCACATTTTAAAATCTTTGCCAATTACTACTAGGTGAATGAACCCTGATATCTTCTACATGGCGATGGCAAATTTGTTCTTTATCTCGGGCGTGCCGGCTGACCTGTTGTTTTGCAGTCACTTAAGTTACTATCTTCCAGAGTAAACCAAAAATGAAAAAGGAGGGAACCTCACTCCCATCTAAGTCCTAAATCCAATTTGTCCCAAACTGATGAGAAATGATCAGCGTGTCCAGAAATCACATACTTTGTGTGAAGCAGCTTAACTGTCCTCTTTGCACGGACCAACAAAAGATATATTATGAAGTGTGAATAATAGCTCCCTGCTCCTTGATTCCTCCAGTTTTTACTGTCCCCTTGAATAACCAGAATCCATATCTTGGCTGTCCTAGGAAAACAGAATGGAGGGACTAGTGTTACCTATTTAAAAAGTAGAGAGTGTGGCCCATTGGGGAGGGGGGGAATCCAAATTCTACAAACTCCTTTCCCAGGATTGAGCTGCTTCTGGCCAGAGACTTTTCTCAAGGGAGAGCAAGTGTGGATCCTAACGAAGTTTGTTCTGGGTGACTGGCACTGAAAAATCCTAGATTTGCTCAAGTTTTTGCCTCCAGGAATCTTGATTGGCTCTCAGTGCTGTAATTTCGTTTGATCTCTTTCTATCTGAAGTCTTTTTAATAGCTTTACTGAAATCAACTTCACATACCACGAAATGCACCCATTCAAAGTTGTACAACTCCATGCTTTTTAGGACGTTCATCAGGTTGTGCAAACCTCACCACAGTCTGATTTTAGAATGGTTTTCAGGACCTGGAGGAGAAACCCCTGTCCCCATTAGCAGCTGCTCTTCCACCCCCCTCTACCTCAGGCAACCAGGCAACCACTAATCTACTTTCCGTCTCTTCAAAAGGCTTTTCTAGTAAAATAATCCTCAGAATTTACTTTGATTTAGTTCTCCTTGGCTGTTACAGGACTAAAAGGTCACAATAGCGCATTCCCCCCGCTACTCCCTGAAAATTAAATCAGCAGTGATAGTCCTGTTAGGTCTCCAACCATGGGGGAAATACAGTCAGGTTCTCAATAAGTCCCCGATGGGGTTCACTGCTCATCTTTGCATAAGATGCACACAAGCTGACCTTGGCAATCCCTGGCCCTGGGCTGATGATGGCAGAGACCAGACCTGCCCCTCTGAGCTGCTGTTCACTGTGGATGATCCCTTTAGCAGAAGATGGCATGGGACTGTCCTGATGGCCTATTTCTGCCAGTAATCAATCCCCCTTCTCAAGCCAGAAGAGTGATATTTCTTGTAAACTTGGGGCGAAGTGTGCGTGAATTGAAAATGACCTTGACAGTCCCGTGAGGAACAGTTGACTATTTCAACTCTGAAACGCTGTACCCTGCTGTGGGAGACGTGGGCAGGGCTTTTCTCCAGAACATTCCTCAGATGTGTAAGCAGGAGAGAGCTACTCAAAAGCGGGACAAAAAAAAAAAAAAAAAAAAAACAAATCAAAACAAAAAACCAACAACAACAAAAAAAACCCAATGCCTTGGATACTGGAGAACAGCAAGTGAAGGAAATTTGCTCTGTGGTCGCTAAATTTAATCCAAATCAACCTCTTCTTAGAAGCAGTCAAGCAGCAATACCCAGATTGTCTGTGACAACAAACACACGAGTTAATTACTGCAGCTTCCCTGTGGGAGAAGTCCGTAAGCAGTGATTTTTGTGGCGGGTCGTGATAGATACTTTGATGCCGTCTGTCATCCTGGACGTTGCGTCAGCCTCTTGCTGCCTGACGTCTGGCTCTAAGGGCGCAGACAATGCTGCGTGTCCATAAATCAGTCCCCTCAGAACTACCAGGAGAAGGGGAACAGTGCGTGGGCCTGTTGGCTTTACAAATCCTCACATTTTTAATGTGCTTCAAGTCGATTCCCTTGGAAACCACAAGATTTGCTGCGACTAGCAAATGGGCGTGACCTGGATAATGACTCCCCCCGCCTCGTGCCCCGGCTACCCACTGGCCTATACAAATAGCTCTGTTCGAAATCATCTTAGCTTCTGAGTAGCTCAAAGGACAAAGGGTGCTTCTGTGCATTTGTCAGATGTAGGCTAGAGGTGCTGAAGCAAGAAAATGGATCCGGGTGGATAGTAACATTCCGGAAAAAGAGCAGGAAGAGAGAGCTTTTCTGACTTGGAAAGAGGGTTGGGGGGGCAGTAACTGGAAGTTCTTTTTCCTTCCTCTTCCCTACCCTCCCTTGCTCTCAGACTTCTGGGGACACACCCTGTCACACAGGTACTCTCCTCCCCTTCTCTCTATAAGACGTGACTTCAGATTACTGAGGGAAGGAAGAAGGAAAAGGCAACTAACATTGATTTGATGGTCTACTCTTCACTAGGGACTAAGATCAGGGTTGTTGTTTTTTTTCTCCAGAATTTTTAAAGTTTATTTTTGTTTTTTTTTTTTTTAAGTTTATTTATTTTTGAAAGAGAGTGCATGAGCAGGGGAGGGGCAGAGAGAGAGGGGGAGAGAGGATCCCAAGCAGGCCCCCATCTTTCAGCGCAGAGCCTGACATGGGGCTTGAACTCACAAATTGCAAGATTTGAGTCAAAACCAAGAGTCTGACACTCAACCAACTGAGCCACCCAGGGGCCCCTAAGCTAAGGGTTTAATACATTGTTTCATTTAATTATCCCACCAAATCTGCAAAGAGAAGGACCTATTCTGATTGTGCATGTGAGAAGTAGGGGCTCAGATGAATTACTGACTTGTCCAAATGACACAGATATTAGAGACTGAGCTGAGACATTGGGAATGGCTAAGTCTGACTTCCGCTTAACCCTGTTCACTAAGAACTGAGTTCAGGGGCACTTGGGTGGTTCAGTTGAGCATCTGACTCCTGATGTCAGCTCAGATCAGGATCCCAGGGTCACGAGATTGAGCCCTGCGTTGGGCTCTGTGGTGACCGTGGACTTTGCTTCAGAATCTCTCTCTCTCCCTCTCTCCACCTCATGCTCTTTCTCTCTAAAATAAAAAAAGAAAACCCACTGTGTTTAAAGCTTGCATTTTTAAAAAATTTATTTTGAGAGAGAGCGTGCATGCAAACAGGAGAGGGACAGAGAGAGAGAGAGGGAGAGAGCATTTTAAGCAGGCTCTGCACTGTCAGCACAGAGCCCAACATGGGGCTCGAACCCATGAACTGTGAGATCATGACCTGAGCTAAAACCAAGAGTTTTAGCTCAACTGAGTGAGCTATCCAGGCACCCCTAAAAGCTTGCAGCTTTTTAAAAATGTTTATTTTTGAGAGACAGAGAGAGCACAAGCAGGAGAGGGGCGGAGACGGAGAGGGAGACACAGATCCGAAGCAGGCTCCAGGCTCTGAGCTGTCAGCACAGAGCCTGATGTGGGGCTCAAACTTGTGAACCGCGAGATCATGACCTGAGCCAAAGTTGGACACTCAACTGGCTGAGCCACCCAGGTGCCCCTAAAAGCTTGCATTTTTAACAACAACCCGTAGTTGGCAAGAAACCTAGTGCAGAAGGTTCTCTTCTGTGGAGTGTGTTCGAGCTACTTTTTAGGCCCCGGTAACCTATCAACCCTGGGGTGAACAGGCCCTCCTCTCCTTGAGAATGTGCTCATTTCAAAGCTTCAAATATATTTCTGTATGAAATAACAGCCTGCACGGGGTCTGTCTTCCTAGTCTAGCCTGCAAAACCTCTTCTATGTATGAAGGACTTGAGAACAGCGCTAATCCTACCACAGGACCTGACTACCATGTAATGATGTTTCTGAGAAAAATCAGTAACTTGTGATCCCAGCTTCTCCTTGTTTACAGGGAAACTGGGACTCTTCCCAGCTTCCAAGCCACAGGTTGTGGTTCCCATGGCCTGGGCAGGGATGAGGGAGCCCTGCAGAACGGAGGGAGTAGAGTCAGAACAAGGAGTCCACGGAGCCCCGGGGTGGAGGTATGTGAGGGAGCTGAGGTAGGGTGGCCAGGGATGTGAGGGGGCGAGAGTCCTGAGATAGGCAGTCCTCCAAGGTAGCAGCGGTAAGGGGCAGGCTGGGCTCTTTCATAATCATCAACTGTTGATGTCTTTGCCTCCAGCTAGTCTTCCTTTTCTTTAATATGCACAGAGTCCTTCCTGGTATGATAAGCATGATCCTGTAAGATGTGGCCCCCCTACCTACTTCTCCACCAGCATCTGTCATGCCCCATGCTCCCTGTTTCAGGCACAGCAGCACTGAGGTCAGTTCCCAGCATGCATCGTGGTGGCTCCAGCTCACAACGGTCCCTTTGCCTGAAATGCTCTTTCAGTCTTGTCTTGTTCACTGTTGGTCATCTAAAACTCAGCTCAGGGGGCGCTTGGGTGGGCGCTTAACCAGTCTGGTGTAGTATCCACCTCTCAGTTTCAGCTCAGGTCATGGTCTCCCCGTTTGTGAATTTGAGCCCTGCATCAGGCTCCATGCTTACAGTGTGGAGCCTGCTTGGGATTCTCTCTCTCTCCCTCTCTCTGCCCCTCTCCTGCTCTCTCATTCTCAAAATAAATAAGTAAACTCAGAAAAAAAAAAAAAGGAACTTGGCTCAGAATTATCCTCTGAGGCTCTGCTTAACAGCCCTCCAACACCAGGCTGGGATGTCAGCCCAAACTCCTTTGTGTTTCTCGATGGCAGCCCACACACACCTCTTTTTCTTTCTTTCCTTCCTTCCTTCCTTTCTTTTTTACTTACAACATTATACTGAAGCTGTTTTCACGTGCATCTACACAGGGAGGGGTCATGGCTCGTTTTCTTTACACCCTGGCACCTACCACTGTTCCTAATAGGAACTCAACACCTATGTTGAACTGAGCTAAGGTTGATTCCCTAGGCTGGCTTGTAATCAGTCTCCCTCTGGACTGAGGCGTGTGTTCCCCCACTTGCTGGGTCTGCTGTCTGCTATGGCTCCCAGCTGAGTCCCTCACTAAAAACCACCCTCAGCCAGATGGAGCTGCTGTGCCCAAAGTTACCACCTTTCCTGGGGGGGAGGTGAGGGGGGCAGTCAGTAGCCAATGGCTGGCTCATGTGTGTCCTTTAACTTTAAAGGGTGTCAGAGCCCTTATGGGCCTCTCAGAGGCTTCCTGCTGCTCCCATATCATGGCGTACACTCTCCCTCAGCCAGCCCTGCCCCCCTCACCCCCTTACAGGAGTGGTTCTAGAAGCACTTGTCAGTAAGCCTCCTACAAGGAATCTTCACTTCAGAGTCTCTTCCCGGGGAACCCAATCACCACAGTCCCATTGCTTCCAACCAGGTCTTGCCCTGTTGCCCTACAAAACAATGCATTTTCTAGTTTTTTCCTTACCACTTGACAAGAAAAGCCAGTGACCTTTCCTGATGGGGTTTTATTGCCTGTAACGGTGGGGAAATGCACAGGACATAAAAAGACTCCAATGCTCCTTCATGTCTTCCTGGAAAGATTCCACTAGGAATCTCTCTCTGCCCCATTTTCCCCTTATTTATCTGTATAGACTGGATGAGAAAGATTTAAATGCGAAAGATTTAAATTTATAGACAAAGAACTCAGAAAAGATGAGCCAACGTTTCTGAGGGAAGCTCAGGCCTTGGTTGTCCTGGGTATCGGGCTGCAGGAGCTAAGGGGAGACTAGGGACAAGAATTGATCCCTGGGGTGGAAGGGACTGTGAGAAGGAGGGGGTAGAATGCAGTGATGACCCCCTCATCCCTACTTTGTCTTCTCTTCTCAAATATGAGAATGTGCCGAGAGACTCAGCCTAAGCTAGGGGTTGATATGGGGTGTGAGAAATCCAAGGATGTGACGTTTAGCCAGGAGCTAAAAGGAGGACTCTCACTTCTCTGCAACGGTAGACCCTTCCCTGAGATGAAGCACAAAGTAGGGACATTTCAGGCAGCAGCAGGGGTTCAAACTTGGAAGTGCCTCGGGACTGCGGGCCACCTGTAAGGACCTGTTTTGGGGCTGGGAGGAAGGGAAGGACCTTGCCCATCTGTATGACCAGAATTAAAAGGCTGTTTGGTAAAACAAGCTCTTCTTACCTTGATGCTGCTTCTTTTCCTATGCTTCTTTCCTTTTTCCAGCTGAAACAGGTAGCCTTCAGAATTGCTACGACCCATTTTCATTTGGTTTCTTTGACTCCTCTCTGAGCTGAGTTGGGATTCGCTTTCCACCCTGGACAATATAGGTGGAAATGTGACGCTGGACGAGGCCCCTTCATTAGGCTGCACCTCCGTCAGCTGCTTTAAGGCTTGCTGATGTTGCTGTATGATCTGAGCGAGCTGCGAATCTGGAGAAGCTCTAACAGGCTGGCTGTCCGAGGAAGAGTGGAATTTCCTGAAGGGGGAACCCCCCCCAACAAATCTGTTAATAACACCTGGATATATAAGACGTTTAGCCTATGACTCTCTTTGAACTTGATGTATTCATCACTCTGCAAATCAAATTAATGACCTTCAGCTGAATCTTTTCATAAATACACTAACCTCTTAAGATCCTCCTCGTTTTTCTCTAGGAGAGTCTCTCTCTTATTTCAGGACTTCATGTAATGCATTCAGAATAGAAAAACAAACCCCACCCCTTGGAAAAGTCAAAGACCTTCCCACTATAAAATACCTGGATGTATTGGATTAAATGGAAACAAACAGCTTTTTAACATGTAGTTGAATTTGTAAGAGAGACAGGGAAACTTCAAATACAAAAGAAGAACTAAATGTAAAGCAGATTTTTGGATAAGCTAAAGCTATGGCTTGGTGGGAGGTTTGCATCAACGGGCTTGAGTTTTAACACTTAACGCTGGTGTAGAATACATGAAATCTTGGCCGTGGGTGGGGTGGATGCCTGCCTAGAGGCCTTGGAGAGCTGCGTCTTCAAAAAAAAGTGAATTAGTGAAAGTCACCAACCTTGAGAATCTGCGAAGCAAGCCTATTTGTCTTGGCCTAGGCTCTCAACTGGAAAAAAATTCCTTGTGAATTTCTGTGGGACAGTGTTTGGGGTTCAGATTTACCTTACCCACATAATTATGGATTCTAACACCAAAAAATTAACATGAAAATGATCCTAGAGGAGGAATCTCCCTGTATATCCAGCAGAACCGAATATAGAAGTTTTCTGGGGGGGTTACCCTCCTTTGCAAGCCTGCCTGGGTGTCTGCAGACAAGATAGATGAACACACACTCACAATCCAAAATCCTAGAATATATGAGGAAATAACCCATCAAGTAGGAGAGTTGGCAGACACACAGGTGCACACAAAAGAACAAGTGATAGGTTTCTAAGAACTTCTGATAATAGACTATTAGCATTCTTTTCTAAAATTTTTATTTTTTATGTTTTAGAGTGAGCAGGGAACGGGGCAAAGGGAGAGAGTCTTTTTTTAAATTTATTTTTGAAAGGACACGTGTGCGTGGGGGAGGGTCAGAGAGAGTGGCACAGAGGATCAAAAGCAGGCTCTGTGCACTGACAATGGAGAGTCCAATGTGGGGCTCAAACTCACAAATGGTCAGATTATGACCTGAATTGAAGGCAGACACTTAATCGACTAAGCTAGGCAGCCACCCTGGAGAGAGAGAGAATCTTAAGCAGGCTCCATGCTAGCACGGAGCCTGACACCGGGCTGGATCCCATGACTCCGGGATCGTTATTCTCAACTGACTGAGACACCCAAGGGCCCCTAGATAACATTCTTAAAGCAAGCATGTTTAAAGATTTTAAAGACATGAAAGAAGAAATCAAAACCCTGAGAAACCGATTTTGAAAACAAAGAACAGGAAGGTTTTAATCAGAACGAAAAATTCTAGACATGAAAAATACCACTGTTGAAATTTACTAAATTTTTATTAAAGCGCATACTAGATCCAGTTGAAGAAAGTTATTTCATTGGGAAACTGGTGGGAGGAAATTTCTCAGAAGCACAGATAGGTAAAAGATGAAATAAACCATTAAAGAGACCCAGAGTCTAGAATAACAGAATCTAATATGCATCTATTTGGTGTTCCTGGAGGGAAAATAGGGTAAATATTTCCTAAGACAGGAAATATGCATAGGAAATATAATAAAGGGAAAATGGAAGATAATTTTTATGGAATTTATGAAAGAGGTGACTCCTCCAATTTCGGAATCACCAACAGGATAAAAACTTCATACCTAGACCTAACACAGTGAAACCTCAGAATACCAGAAACAAAGGGAGAAACCTTAAATAAGAGAAAAGACAAAAAAGGAATGATAATTACATTGACAAAAACTTTTCCAAGAAACAGAAACCAGGAGATAGAAAAATGTTTTCCAACTCCAAGTTAAACTATCATTCAAGATAGAACATAAAGGGGGCGCCTGAGTGACTCAGTCGGTTAAGCGTCCGACTTTGGATCAGGCCATGGTATCGTAGTTCATGGGTTTGAGCCCTGCATCAGGTTCTGTACTGGCAGCTCGGAGCCTGGAGCCTGTTTCAGATTCTGTGCCTCCCTCTCTCTCTGCCCCTCTCCCGCTCATGATCTGTCTCTCTCTGCCTCAAAAATAAACTATAAAAAAATTTAAAAAAAAAACATAAAGGTCTTTCAGGTAAATTTACCTACTCTTGCTGAAAGCCTTTCCAAAAGATCTACTTCAGGAAGAAGGAGTCAAATAGAAGAAAAATTGTGAGGCAAAGACATTAATAAACAGTTAAACTTAAAACACTGACTCTCTATAAGAAGCAATAACTTTTGGAGATCTAGGTGCTACAAAAGATGCTGGACGAAAAATGTGTGACTCAAAGGGCGATTGGATTAAAACAGTCCAGTGATTCTGACTATGCTCTAGAAGAGAATAGAAATATTTCACCTGGTTAAGTATGTTTTTCAAAAACTTAAGTTGGATGAACCTAGAGGGTATTATGCTAAGTGAATGAAGTCAGAGACAAATACCATATGGTTCCACTCATAAGGGAAATCTAAAAAATATAAAAAGCAGAATCAGTCCTATAAATACAGAGAAGAAACTGATGGTCACCAGAGGGGAGGAGGTAGAGGGTTGGGCCAAGTGGGTGAGGGAGAGAAGGAGATACAGGCTTCCAGTTATGGAATGCATAAGTCACGGGAATAAGAGTCCTTGCATAAGAAATATAGTCAATGATACTGTAATAGCGATATAATGGGACAGAGGGTAGTTATACTTGCGGTGAACATGGCATAATGTGTAAACTTGTCAGATCACTAGTTGTGTAGCTGAAATAATGTAATGTGTGTCCACTGTACTCAAAATAGAGAATACATATTTCCAAATCAGAGGGGGAAAAGTAACAAAATTCTATTCAGTAAAAGACACACACACACACACACACACACAAATAGGGTGGCAGAAAGGACAAATTAAGATGGTAGAAATAAATCCAGATATGATTATTACAGTAAGTGTAAGTAGATTAAAATTGAAAATCGGCCCATAAACAAGAGAACAAAGCCAAACAAAAAAATGCATGTGACTTAGATGGTTTTACAGGAAAATTTATGAAACTTCAAGTAGTAGAGAATTCTAATTGTATACGAAGTGTCCTAGAGGATGTAAAAAGGGGGACTACTCCCCACCTAATTTTATAGGGTTGGTATAGTCTTGATAACCCACTCAGATAGGGCTAGTAGCAGACAGGAAAAATGTAAGCCAATCTCACTTCATGCATGTGAATGTTAAATCCTAAATAGTGTTAAAAAAGTCAAATTGAGCAATATATTAAAAATACAATATGACAGGGGCGCCTGGGTGACTTAGTCGGTTAAGCGTCCGACTTTCGCTTAGGTCATGATCTCGCGGTTCGTGGGTTCGAGTCCCGCGTCGGGCTCTGTGCTGACTGCCAGCTCAGAGCCTGGAGCCTGTTTCAGAGTCTGTGTCTCCCTCTCTTTCTGACCCTCCCCGGCTCACACTGTCTCTCTCTCTCTCTCTTTCTCTCTCTCTCTCTCTCCTAGAAATAAAATAAAAAATATTAAAAAAAAATACAATATGACAAATTGGGAAACTCCTAGAAATAAAAGGATGATGTCACATTAGGAAAAGTGTTAATAGGGGCACCTGGGTGGCTTGGTCAGTTGAGTGACCAATTCTTGATTTTGGCTCAGGTCACAATCTTTGGTTTTGTGGTTTTGAGCCCCATGCTGACCATATGTGGAGCCTACTTAGAATTCTCTCTCTCTCCCTCTCTCTCTGCCCCTCCCCTGTTAATGTTCTCTGTCTCTCTCAAATAAAAATAACTTTAAAAAAAGGAAATCTGTTAATACATTTAACCATCTTAAAGGATTTAAAGAGAAAAATTTTCAATTGATGCAGAACAAGTATTTGATAAAATGAAGTATCCATTTGTGATAAAAGCTCTTGGCAAAAGGAATAGGAATAGGAGAGATTTCCTGTCTCCACTCCCTATCCACCAAAAGTTAAATATTTTTAATGGTATGAATGTTAAAAGCACTCCCTCTAAAGTCAGGAAAAAAGACAAGGACACTTGTAATCTATCACGATCTCTTCTGGAAGCTACCTCTGAATTTTATTGATTCTATGTTCCATACCTCCAAGTGCGGCACTGAAATGTGTTCTTCTCACCTCTGACATGCAAAAGTATCTCCTGACTTTGAAAGTAAGCCCCTCGAAGGTACCCATGCATCACACTACTTTTGTACCTTCTGCATTCTAGCACTGGATTTAGTGCATATCTAGTGTGTAATATACACATTTGATTGAATATCATCAGGACATGTCCTCTGATGTGATTTTAAAAATAACTTTTTTTTTTCTGATTAAAGAAGGAAAACCTCTACACTGTAGGGAACTTGAACAATTCAGACAGTATGAAGAGAACATTAAAAATAAGTGTAATCTCTCATCAGAAATAACCACTATTGACATTTTGGTGCATTTTTCCTCCTTTGGGCATATTTCTACATAGTAGAGCTCCTACTCCTAGGGTGTAAATTTGTACCTTACTATTTTCTTTTTATAGAAGTGTTTCTTTATGACCAAAGCTTTTAATGGTTACATGATATTAAATACCATCATTTACCTAAACATTTCCTTATTGTTGGATTATTGTTGTCATTTGGTAAATGAAGGTATTTGAGGGAAATGCATATATTTCCTTAGGATAACCATGTTAGAAACCGTTTCCCCCAAACATTACTTGTAACCCTCAAAATATACTGATTTTTTTTTTTGACTAGGTCCTTCTGTCTCCTCCCATCCCTCCAACCTTTGGCTTATCTACAGTGGGAAAAGTAGAGACTAGGAAGAAGAAAAGACATCGAAAGTGGGCTATGTGAGGCAGAAATCAGAGCCAAGGTCATTGTTAGGTGACGGTTTCCTCTCCCCTGACCATCCCCAATGACCCACACCTTCTCCTGTCTCCAGTGGTCTTTCATAGCTCTCCTAGAAAGACAGCTGAGAAAAGAGAATTCTTACCATAATATTTCTAAGTTCTTATATTTTGTCTCTGTGTAAGCCCACTTGGGTTGCTTCTTATTTCTGGTTGATCCATTAACATTTGCAGTAGGAACAGACTGTGAACCCTTCTGGCTCAGGGGCCCTTGTCTCTTACTAAGCTCGTTAAGGTGGTTCAAGTCCATATTGGAAAGAGTGTTGATGTGTGACTGCTGATGTGACCGTCTTTTCTCTTCTTGGCCCCTGGGTCCTCTTTCTTGATGGATGTTCGTCACCAGCTGATATCCAGTAGAGTTGTTATATAATGCCTTGTCAGTAGCCTGCTGTAGTGGACCAAGTTTACTGGAGGTTATTTTGGGATCCTGACTCCTAAATGCACTTGAGTCTTGTAGATCATTAGGGGCATTCATAATTACAATGGTTTCATGCTTTACTGAAGGATCAGTGGGCTTATTTTGGTTTGCTTGCTGTCTGGGAATGCTATTCTGGTTTCCTTGACTGACAGCCAGCTCCTCAGTCACCAAAGACTTCAGGCCATGCTGGCGTTGATGCTGTTTTCGAGTCTTGCGCTTGGCTGGTTTTCTGGAAGGCTTCTGGCCGTTGGTTGTTTCAGAAGATTGATGTCTCAGTACGTTGTTTGATTTTGCACTTTCGTATTGAGACCAGTGTTCCTGGTGATTCTAAAAAGAGATCTTTGGTTAACATAAAGTCAAATGGTCAGCATGCCTCACAATTTACATTAGTATTTTCCAACCTGAGGGGGGGGGGGGGGGGGGGGGGGGGGGGGGGGGTCCTTTCCTAATTTCAGGATATGAGGATGATTAACTGAGTAACTCCTCTGCACAATTTCAGATTATGAATTTCTAGAAAGAAAAAGAGAGCTTTGAATGGGCTTTGTTTTCAGGACAAGCCTTTGACTTCAAATGTGAAATGAAGTCACCAAAGAGGGTGGGGAGGGGAAGGAGCTTTACCTCTACAGGGCCGCATACAAAGAAAGCACAAATCCACATCAAAACATGCAAGTTTATCTTAACTAAGATGAATATTTTTAAAAATCTTAACCAGAAGGGACAGTAGTGATTTGCTTTACCAACCAGGTACAAAGCTAATATGAAACACAATTTAGATGATCAGATCTTCTTACTCATATAGGTCAGAAGCTAGAAATGACCTCTTCACCAGATGAAACAAATTAGATTTTATTCAGAGGATTCTAAAAGAGTCTGCACTGTGATAGGACATTTGTGAATCCACAAGGGTTGTTTTGCTTCAGTTCCTTAATATAGCCCGTACTTAGGCAATCAAACATCTGGGGGACGTATTTCAATTTCAGAAAGGTCTTTATGCTTTTCAAAGTCTTGTAACAACAAAATGTACTCCTAGTATAATAGATATACTACGTAACTATATTGTACTGAGCCATTTAGAAATATTTTCCAAGGAATAAAGCACTCATTACGTTGTAAAACACTGGCAGAGTTAAGAGGCCTTTGGAAAGAATAATTAAATGCTTAGTAAAAATAGTAATAAGGCCATATGCATCAGTGTGGTATATACCCACGCCATGTTTTTTCCTTTCTGAACACCTGTTTAAAAAATCTCTATGGCCCGTATCTATGCAATGTTAACTGAAAAATCCAAGTTACCTGGATTACTCGAAGCAGAAAAAACACCCTCTTTTGCCCAGATTGTTTTAGCTTGCTATGAACAATGATCAAATTATTGCAGTGAGTTCAACTTTTTTTCACTTTTCTATCATAGAATTACTATGGTATCTTGTTGTGTAGAGTAATAGATGGTATTCTATTTCTAATGAAATCTGATAATGATTAGGTTGAGATTGTTAAATTTAAAACAGTAATATACAATGTTACTTTGCATGTCGGATTTTTAAGTAAGAATGGCTTGTCTGAGATTTAGAGTATATTTTCCTTAGAGTTTGAGCTTTCTGGAGGATTGGCCAGGCTCTGACTGGCTTGTCTAAACTTTACTTTTGGTACCCAAGAAAGAAAAACTTCCTTTTTTGTATTTTCCTATTTTGTATTTGTGTTAAGAAAGGTTCTTCCATCTACGTCGGATATGGAGCCGCATGGGAGAAATGTAGGCACAGAGGTTGCAAAGAAATAGCCCAAGGGCAGCCTTGCTTAAAGTGGACCCACAAGAAAATGGCTATTTTATAATCTTATCAGGTGTGTTAATGAAACATGGTGGCTCTTTTCCTGGCTGTCATCACTGTTTATGAAGGCAAAAAAATATATATATATATCCACCTTTGCTATGATCTATAAATACTTGTTGATGCTGATAATGTCATTTAAAAAAGTATTTGTTCAGGGGCACCTGGGTGACTCAGTTAAGTGTCTGACTCTTGATTTCAGCTCAGGTCATGATCTTATAGTCATAAGTGAGATTGAGCCCTGCATTGGGCTCTGTGCTGACAGCAAGGAGCCTGCTTGGGATTCTTCCTCTCTCTCTTCCCCTCCCTGGCTCACACTTGAGCTCTGGCTGTCTCCCTCTCTCACAATAAATAAACAACTAAAAAAATATTTGTTCAGTCTTTTAAAAAAAACTTTAATATTTATTTTTGAGACAGAGACATAGTGCAAGTGGGCGAAGGGTGGAGAGAGAGGGAGATACAGAATCTGAAACAGGCTCAAGGCTCTGAGCTAGCTGTCAGCACACAGCCCAACGTGGGGCTCGAACCCACAAACCGCGAGATTATGACCTGAGCCAAAGTCAGACACTTAACTGACTGAGCCACTCAGGTGTCCCTGTCCAGCCTTCTAATTGCTAGAAAAATAAGCTAACAGGAACTCTTTCTGCTGCCGTCCATCCATCCACATCCTACCTCTCTCTCCTCATTCCCACCAACAAAGAAAAAAAAAAGCTATCAAGAATTCTTTCTCTGGGATACCATACCCAAAATCTTGGTTTTAATCATGTTATACCTTTGCTGCTGACAATTCAGATTACAATAATACCCTTCAGAGGGGGCTTTGTCAACAAGGCCAAGGACTCCTCATTTTACGAAACTTTAATTGTCTCAAGTGTTAAATCTGCTATTCACTAGAATGTAAGTGCCCAAAGAAGGCATTTCAGTCCCCAGAAAGGAAGATATTTACAGGCTTGATGTGATTCCTCTCACCTTGTGAGCAGGCTACTTGAGATCTGTGGTTTACTGAAGATTTATTACCCTACAATTGAGGCGTCAGGTGTCACTTTTTAGGTCACAAGACCCGAGTTCCCTCAAGTTAATATAAAAAGCCATTCTCAGACTATTTAATCTCCATCAGCACTGAAATCCTCTATTTTATCCTGCTCTCAATGGGGTTCTTTTGTTACCAACACTCACGATTAGTCCATGCTACGTGCACTCAGAATAACAGTTTAATGGCAGTAGGTTCCCTAGCACACAGACCAGTGTCCATTGGTACAGCATTCACATCAGGGAATCCCAATGCCTATTGCTGGGAGGATGATTTGTTAGTAAGGTCTGTACTTAGTTATTAACGTTTGTTCATACTGCACTCTCTGAGAGGGGTTTGCCCCCAACCCTGTGAAACGCAGTGTCTGTCTGGCTGTTTCTCTTTTACAGCTTTCCATTGATATGCCGTAAGCAGAGGGGAGGATGCCTGCTCTTCTCGACCAAAGGTTCATCTGCTTTCCAACAAAAGCCATTCTTGTCCTTAGTTACCCTGATTGACCCTGGAGTCCTGAAGGCTGTGCCGGGGCTCCAAGATCAGCTCGGATGTAGAGAAGTGTCTGTTGTGTTTATTAACAATGAGACACAAATACTTTGTGCTTGCATTAAGAATCCCATCTGATAATATTAAGGAAACTTTGAACACACCTATTAACTGGCTGTAATTTACAGCATCAGTAAGGGAGGGTTCTATGCTCAGATGGACAAAAGAAGAATAGCTATATTGATAGTGTTGGAGTCAAAACCAAAATAATAGGTCTTTGGAAAGGTGGGAAGTTACTTAGGATGTGATTACAAGGAACCTGACATTAATTAGTCAAAGAGCCTACATAGCCTGTTCTTCCTTTGCCTAGAAAGTTGAGTTATTTTATTTTATTATTATTTCTCAAATGTTTATTTACGAGAGAGGGATCTCATGAACCATGAGATCATGCACCAAAATCAAGAGCTGGATGCTTAACCAACTGAATCAGTATGAGAAACCTTAAGGGCATGATCCAGACCGCAGGTACATAGTAACAGAGAGAGAGAGAGAGAGAGAGAGCAGAGGATGGAGTGGGAAAGGCTGGAAAATCTTGATGCAGGACGGAAGACCAGAAAGAAGGCACTGGATTTGGGTAGTTGAAGAGGAAGATGAAAGGCAACCTGGAGCAATGGTATGCCAAACGTCTCGCTGGTGTGTAGGATGCGGCGGGAATTAACAAATCCTTTTGAAGTAAAGAAAGTGGCATCCCATGGGCCACTCTGTGGCTGCCATGTTAGGTCTAATGATCTTGAGATGTTTGGCTCCTCTTTGTCTTCACTCAGGAGTGGGTTATAAACAAATGAGTTCTGGGGAGCCTGGGTGGCTCTGTTGGTTAAGCATCTGACTTTGGCTCAGGTCATGATCTTGTGGCTCGTGGGTTTGAGCCCCTCACTGGGCTCTCTGCTGTCAGCACAGAGCCCACTTTGGATCCTCTGTCCCCCTCTCTCTCTGCCCCTGCCCCCACTCTCTCACTTAAAAATGAACATCAAAAAAACCCCACGAGTTCTATTACATACAAAGAATAAAGAGCATTCTTTTGGCTTTTCTTCCATATAAAAATTTTTACCACCCCTGTTAAGGGCCATATTATGAATCAGGTGCTGTGATTTTACTTTATCTTTGGCTGAGATTCTCATAATTTTCTGTGGTGATAATTATGAAAACTCTAGGTTGCAGGAACCTCACATGCTTCAAATATGTTTTCTAGAATAATTTAAGTAACTAGAGAAAAATGTCATATAGTCATAGCATTTTGCAGCTGGGCTGCACCTTGTAGTTCATTTGGGGCACCCCTTCATTTAATAAGGAAGAAACTTGGAGTCGCTGGGTGGCTCAGTCCACTAAATGTCTGATTTTGGCTCAGGTCATAATCTCATGGTTTGTGGGTTCAAGCCCCATGTAGGGCTCTGCTCTGACCATGTGGAGCCTGCCTGGGATTCTCGCTCTGTCTCCCTCTCTCTGCCCCTCCCCTGCTCTTTCAAAAATAAATAAATAAACTTAAAAAAAAAAAAGAAACTTAAGGCTTGGGGGAAGGTTGAGATTTGCCCAAAGTTATGCATTGAGTCAATGACTGGCGAAGGCCCAGAAATCCATGTCTTCTGACCCAGTCTATTATCTGTAACACATGACAAGCCTTAAGGTGTTTCCCTTGTCCTCTCCATCCAGTTGGCCAAGCTCCCCAGGCTCTCTATTGGGTCTGGTGTAGACCCTGTCCTCTACTATATCCCATTGCCAAGGGACAGTTCAGTACCATTTTCTCAACCTGGTGTGGCTGGCATCAGCTTTCAGGAAGCTCTGAGTGAACCACTGTTTCTATTTCTTTCTTTCTTTTCTTCCTTTCTTTTTTCTCTTTCCCTCTCTTTCTCCCTTTTCTTTCCTTCCTTCCTTCCTTCCAAGTCTGAGAGTGACCTCGAAGCCACTGTGAAGGATAAAAGATGATTTAGGCGGTCGCTCTTTTCTGAATTCTCTGGAACCGAGATGAACTTTATTATTACTCTTCCCCATGTACACAGTTGTAACTGATGGTGTCAGCAGGCTTTCTCGGTGGGGTGGTTTCCCAGGGCTCATCTCTCCTGCAGCAGGGATGAAACCTGGTGTGAGAGTGACTGTTCCACAGAGCTTCACTCACTGGTTCAAGAAGACATTGACTGGGAGCACTTTGCCTTTCTTCTAGAAAAATGGTCCGTGGGGACAGTTTCACAAAAGTCCTCCCTAAATTACTGGTTAGTAGGCTTTCACATCCTGCAAATGAGGCTCTGGGGATTCCCGCCCATCTTTAGGGATAGTGTTCCCTGTCAGCTAAGGACACTGTAACGGCCAGCTTCGAGCAGTGCAGATTGGGATGATATCTTGAACTACGATTTTTACTTCTGTGCATTTTCACCATGCCTTTCTTCTGTGTGGGGTTTTCACTCTGAATGTTTAAAGAGTGATGTGATGATTTTCTTCTAGGAAACAGAATCTTTTAAAGAATGGGTAGAGTTGGCAGGCTGAGCAAACAATGGCCCACTGGGCACAAACCAGTCTTACCCATGGTGGGCAACTATTCTCAGGCATAAGAATAAACCTGTAAGTTTTAAACCTCAGGTGCCTGGGTAGCTCAGTTGGTTAAGCATCCAACTTCAGCTTAGGCCATGATCTCAAGGTTGATGAGTGCGAGCCCTGTGTTGGGCTCTGTGCTGTGACAGCTCAGAGCCTGGAGCCTGCTTTGGATCCTGTGTCTCCCTCTCTCTCTGCCCCTCCCCTGCTCATGCTCTCTCTCTTTCAAAAATAAACATTAAAACAAAGAATAAACCTGTAAGTACTAAGTCAGCCATGAACATTACTGATATTTAGCAGTAACCCTTGAAATCCATTTAAAGTCGAGTCTAGTGAATAACCTTTAACTGTTGGGCTCTTTGATGCCATTTGTCTTCAGGATTGATGGCAGTGTCTTCAATCTCTTTGGCATTCTGAATGGACGTCTTATTGGTTGCACTGATGGGGTAGGATATCTAAGAGGGTAAAACAGAGAGAGCACGTTAACAGGTTTCACTTTAGTCTTAGAGCCACGAAGCTCATCTGTGAACTCTAGAAAGAAATCCTGAAGGGCTTCGTTTTTTTCTTTCTGTCTTTCTGTCTTTCTTTCTGTTTCTCTCTCTCTCTCTCTATTCCCCTTCATAGTTTATTGTCAAGTTGGTTTCCATATAACACCCAGTTATCCCACTGGGTAACACTCATCCCAACAAGTGCCCTCCTCCATGAAGGGCTTCATTTTCTTTTCAGTTCAGGGGTCTATCTTGGTCTTCAGGGACTTGGATTAATCCTAAGGAAAATGGGAATAATGTTTCCTCCTGTAGGCACGATGTGAGAATTGGCACTTTGAGGTCAAACTACTATTTATTTTTTTATTAAAAAATTTTTAAAGTTATTTATTTCTTGAGAGCAAGCAAGCAAGAATGGAGTAGGGACAGAGAGAGAAGGGAGAGAGAATCCCAAGCAAGCTCTGCCCTGTCAGCACAGAGCCCGATGTGGGGCTCGAACTCCCAAACTGTGAGATCATGACCCAAGCTGAGATCAAGAGTTGGGCACTTGACCAACTGAGCCACCCAGATGCCCCCTACTTTAAACGTTCAATATCTACTTCAGGGACCCAATTTTCGAACCATTACCTGAACTGAATGTGGCAACAAATGTTGAGCACATCAAATGAAATAATAACGTAGTGAGATAATGTTGTCCTTGAAGAGAATGATAACAGCAATAGAAATAACAATATGCATCAGCTGTTCATGGTCTGCTAGTAGCTGTCCTAAGCACTCAGCATATATTCTATCAGTTATAATATATTACAGCTTATCAGGTATGTGACTATTATTAACAGATTATCTATTATCTCTCAGAAAGGTTAACTAACTGCCCAGAATCAACAGCTAGTAAGTAAGGAGCCAGGCGGCCTAGCTCCAGAGTCTCATTTTTAATAATTTTGCTAAAGTAACTTACTTATTAGAAATACCCTCTTTGGAACACCTGAGTGGCTCAGTCGGTTGAGCATCAACCCTTGATTTCAGTTTAGGCTGTGATCCCAGAGTTTTGGGATCGATCCCTGTGTCGGGCTCCATACTGAGTGTGGAGCCTGCTTGATATTCTCTATCTCTCCCCCCGGCCCCCGCCTTTCTTCTCTCCTGCTCATGTGTCTTCATGCGTTCTCCCTCCCTCTCTCTCTCTCTCAAAATAAATAAACACATGCCCCTTCTACTGGTAGATGTTTCCCATTTGTGTCACTATAGGTTTAAAGATCGTCTACAGACTAAGGAGGGGAGAAGCTATAAAGTGGCTTGAGATTATTTCCTTTTTTTCCCCTGTAGGAGACCTGGTCCTGTCACCCATCTGTGGAGTAAAATATTAGCTCTCTTAATCTCTGTTTCAGGGATGATGAATATACTGTCACATCACTGAGCCACCCAAATGCTATAAAAGTTCTTCCTATGAGAGCAGAAATACATCCTCCTGTAATTTCTAGCCTTCTGCCCTCTGAAATAATGGGAGAAGTCAATCTGTCATTCAGACAATAGCCCCAGATATTAGAAGCTGACTTCAATGCATCTGCTAAGCCTCCTCTCATTCCCAGGTGCCGTGGCAAGATTTCTTTGCCATTCTTCCTGGGACAGGTGACCCAGGGTGGGTTCCTCTGGCCACGGTGCTTCATGGCTTGTCAATGTCAAGCTTGCCCTTTCAAGACTGATGTACCTAATTTTCACATTTAGATTTTGGAGTTTATGCTTGTTTGATTAAATTGTCCCTGGTGGGCTGCGTGGTGTGAGAAGCAGTGAGTTGCATAACGCTGGAAGAAGCATGGGGTTTGGAGTCTCTCATGTGTGTTCACATGTTCCCATTCTCCTGCTGCTCCATACTTCACATATAGTACATATGTGTGAATGCAGGAAAGAGGGGGAAATAGTTGTTAGTAAATCAGCACCTGACAGTAAAGATAAATATTCCTCAGGGGCGCCTTTGTGGCTAAGGCGGTAAAGCATCCAACTCCTGATTTTGGCTCAGGTTGTGATCTCACAGTTTACAAGTTTGGGCCCCGCATCAGTCTCTGTGCTGACAGCTCGGAGCCTGAAGCCCACTTCGGATTCTGTGTCTCCCTCTCTCTCTGCCCCTCCCCTGCTCACACCCTGTCTCTCTCTCCTTCAAAAATAAATAAACATTAAAAACAAAATAAAAGTCTAAGCAAGCGAGGAAATAATCCTTTTTCAAACCTCAAAGAAGCAGTATCTTGGACAGAAATGTTATCTGGAGCTTGGGAGGAAAAAAAAAGTGGGGTTGATTTCCTAGATCCACCACCAGGATTGTTTGATTCCCCGGCTTCCGTGAAGGGGACGTGGCTCCGTTAACTCAGTTTTTTCCTGGTGATATTGATCCTTTGACTGCCAGCAATGGGATCCCTTACACAGCCTCTGGTAAACAGTTTACAAATTAAAAACGCATCGCCCTCTGCTTCCTTCCCCAGAGCCCTAAGGCCCTGCGCTATTTCCATCCCCATGTCCTGTTGGTGGAACTCAGCGTCTGAGTCCCCACCGACAGTCTCTGGACAAGTAAAGCATACTTCTACATTATCTCTTTGAAAGTGGAGTGGGACACAACCTCTGCCAGCTATTTTTTTTTTTTTTTTGTGAACCATTCTATTAATACCAATCAAATCGAGAAAATGATCAAATGAAATTGCATTTTGAGCATCATAAGCTGCGTAATGTCTATTCTGTTAAATTGGGGCCTATAATTGCTTCTCCACTGAAAAGATACAACAAAGACAGCAATCACGGCTTGTCATTATCCGGGACTAGAAGCCCGGCCTTTGCAGGGAGGACTTCAAAGGCTTGTGGTTCTCGAATTGCATTTGGCTGCTATTGAGGAAGCGCAGGCAATCCTGATTAGGTGTTTACACTGAGGTAAGGCGCAGAGCAGAGAGCCTGAGTGCCTGGGTCTAGAGCCATTAAAAAATTGTACATTATGTTCCTTGCTTTGAAGTGAGGGTTTGTGGGAAGGAGAGCAACTCAGATTGAGTACAGCTGAGCTGGACGGGGCTCTCTCTCTCTCTCTCTCAAAGAAACCGGTCAGATCTATAGGGAATCGGCACCACACAAAAAAGTTGAGCCTTTACCAAGAGTGATACGTGAATGAGTGCATCTGCACGGACACACGCTGAATCATGTTTAAAAAGCATACTTGCCTTAAGTCCTGCAATCCCTGGAAGTTTGGCTCCTTTATTCCTTGATATTGTTATTGTTTTTTAATTGGGAGCCCCCCACTATTAATTTATTAGTTTCCTTGTTATTCCTTGAAGGTATTAACAACTAGCACATGCCCAAATTAAAACAGGCCAAGGAGTCTGATTTCCTAAATGTAGTGTTTGCCCACCCTCACTCTAACACATAAGCTATTTAATCCCTCCCTTTGGGGCATAATCATTTTGGGCATAATTCAATGAGCATTTGTTAACTTGGCTAATGAGCGATCTGCTGTATCAATTCTGTCCTGTTTCTAATACATTGTGCTCTGTGTTGGTCCCCGCCTGCTAGCGTGGGCGCCACCACCGTCTGTTTATATGTGGTCAGCAAAACAGGTGGAGGCATGGCGGTCCAGAGAGTCTGTTGTGGCTGTGCTCAGTAAGAATTTGATGACATTGAGACCTTTGGATTGATTACTTTTTACATTCATTCTCCCTATAAGATACTGCAGCTTTTAAAACTCCCGAACTAATTATGCTAAGCCACCACTTAAAAAACCCTTCAGTGGGGCACCTGGGTGGCTCGGTGGGTTAAATGTCCGACTTCAGCTCAGGTCATGATCTCATGAGTTGTGAGTTTGAGCCCCATGCCAGGCTCTGCTCTGACAGTGCGGAGCCTGCTTGAGATTCTCTCTCTGTTCCTCCCCACCTCCCCGCCCCTGCCACCCCGCCATTTATACACACACACACACACACCTCTACACATTCTCTCTCTCTCTCTCTCAAAATAAATAAACTTAAAAAGAAAAAACCTTCAGCGCTTTTCCATTGCTTTTAGTCTTTAAAAGTTTGTAAGGCCCTGGGGCACCTGGGTGGCTTAGTTGGTTAAGCATCCGACTTTCGCTTAGGTCATGATCTCGCGGTTCGTGGGTTCGAGCCCCACGTCCGGCTCTGTGCTAACTGCCAGCTCAGAGCCTGGAGCCTGTTTCGGAGTCTGTCACTCCCTCTCTCTCTGACCCTCCCCTGCTCACACTGTCTCTCTCTCTCTCTCTCTCCTGGAAATAAATAAAAACATTAAAAAAAATTTTTTTTAAAGTTTGTAAGGCCCTGCATCCTGTGCTTTTTGCTCTTTCCACACCCTATTTTCTCCGTTCTGTGGTTGGGCCACATGCACCATTATGTCTGGGTCTGTGCACAGGCCATCCTTTGCTGGGAAACCCCTCTTCACCTCACTTATTCTGACCAATCCCATTCACTGTTCCTGTTCCTGTTCCAGCCTTGGCCAAAATAGGACTTTCTCCAGGAAGCCCTCCTTGACTCCTCAGAGGTTACCTAACAATAGATGCACCTGAGCTCACAGCCTTGGCACTCGGTAGTTTCCCTTTTGTAACAAGTCCTACCTTGGTCATTAGGCTCATTTCCCCTCTAGCCCATAAGTCCCAGGGGTGACTCACAGGGGCTGCTGGGTGACCCTGAATGTGCCTGGCACAGACTTGCTCAGTACATATTACTGAGTGAAAAGACCTATCCACATTGAGCACTGAACTCTCCACTGACACCCGAATACATAGAATCTACTTGTTTATCTGGCTAGATTTGTGGTTTATGATAAAGCCAGGTAGCCAACTGTCAACAAAATCAGGTGCAAAGTAGGCCTCCTCTTTCCCTTTCCCTTGCTTGCTCGGCCTAGGACCACTGGCCCTTCACACTTTACATGTGCTGTACCTTCTGCCAGGAACACTCTTCCCTCAAATATTTGCCTCATGTGCTCTCTCACCTCCT